TCATGCTAGACCAGGGAGGGTAGTCCTGTTCTGAACCTGCATCAGGAAGATTCCCATTGAAAAAACAAAGCCAGGAAAACTCATGTGGCACCTGGAGATGCTGAGAAGTGGGGGGTTCATTTCCCCATTGGCTTTAGCCTGAGAATCTGATCCCAAGTTTGGTGTTCAGGAGGTGGTTGGAGTTAAAAGGTGAGAGGGAAGTCACCATCCCCCTCCCCACACAGGTCTGGTATCTCAGATCTGAATAATCTGTGTTGTGGTGTGAACTGAAATGTAACCTTTACCCATATTTCCCACTCACCCCAGTGCCAAAGAGCCTTCAGAGCTTTAAAAACCTAATTACAGGAGGAGAGGCCTGACTTTTCTTTCTTTTCTCCCTTTGCCAAGTTCTGAGCTACTATAATATGCTCAATCAGGTCCCTTTGTCTGGCCAACCCCACCAGAATATTAATGGGGAGATTCTGTTAGTATCTTACCCTGCCTTTCAACATCTCTTCTCAAAAAGGAATAGTGGCAGGTTAAGACAAAATCAATCACTGTCAACACACAGATTATGTGTGAGGGTTTGTTTTGGTGTTTTGTTTTTTTTTTTGCCTGCAAAGACATCATGTTTGGGTTCTTCTTTTTAATTAAACAAATGAGTTGCAGGAAACCTGGGGAGGGAAAGAAAACTGTGCACTGATGTCTCTGCCTGCCCACAGCACAAGAACTGGTGGTCAATTTTCAGGACATATTGAATTGAGCAACTTTCATGAAAGGATGATGCTGAGTAACTCAAGCACTGCTGCCAGCCTTGTTTTATGTCCAAAAAGAACCTGCTGTCATGGCTCATGAAGATTAGACTTTCATTTCCAGGAAAGGATGCTTAGTCCAGCCAGCTAAGGAGTGGGATCTGGGAATACAGGTGGGTATGGGTATATCAAGGGCTTAAGGATCTTGGATGTTTAAAGTGAGAAAGAAATGAGCTTTCCCAGGTCTCTCATCACACCCTAATAACCCAGGTATCCTCAGGACCCACTTTCCTTCCTCTCCACTGTGGTGCTCAGACACTGACTGGCTACAGCAGAATGGTTCTCAGTCCATCAGCAGTGCCAAGAGGAAGGGAAAGAAGCAACAGCAGCAAAGAAATCATGGCCCTTTGTATGAAGAGAAAGTCTGGGAAAAAAAAAAGCCTGCTGAAATGGAAGGAAGATGACAAAAAATTGGACAAGCAATTCATTTTATTTTGAAGCTTTCAGGAGAGATCTATTCAACCATGCAGATCTTTGAGGAAGTTTATAAGCCATGTCACTTATCATCAATGGCTCAAACTAGCCCAGGCTAATTATTATCTTTGAAATTAATGCTGCAGGAACATTCACAGCACACTGAGGAGCTGAGGTTTAATACATCCTGCTTAGTGCAAAGAGATACTGAGAGAAGATCTTTGGCTTCATGTCTGGGATAGTAACAATAAGGAAAAGGACACAGCTCAGGGGCTTTTCCCAGGGAGTTGGGTGTAGATGACCCAGCAGGTTTTCCATTCTAACACCTTTGATACAAACTATTTCAAACCAGGGAGAGTAAAATGCCAAGAATGGAATAAAATGCATCTTAGGATCAAAATGTTGGCACTGTTGGCATCTAACTGAGCTTGGCCACCAGGCTTAGCCTGGCCAGGAATTCACACCAGTGCAGTAGGGTCAGCCAGTAGAATCCAGCACTGAATCCATGGGAGCTCTGGTGTCCCCTGCTGATGGTTCAGGAACCAGAGAAAGAGCCAGGAAGGCACCTCAGCACCTTTCTGTGCTAAGGAACAAAGGATAAATGTGAAGGCAAAGATTGAGGCTAGGAATGCAGGCTCAGAGGGCTGGAGCAGCTCTGCTCTGGAGACAGGCTGGGAGAGTTGGGGTGTTGAGCCTGGAGAAGAGAAGGCTCCAGGGAGACCTTAGAGCAGCTTCCAGTGCCTGAAGGGGCTCCAGGAAAGCTGGGGAGGGGCTTGGGACAAGGGCAGGGAGGGATGGGAGCAGGGGGAAGGGTTTCCAGCTGGCAGAGGGAGCTGGAGCTGAGATGTGAGGGAGAAATTCTGGGCTGTGAGGGTGGGGAGAGCCTGGCCCAGGTTGCCCAGAGAAGCTGTGGCTGCCCCATCCCTGGCAGTGTTGAAGGGCAGGTTGGATGGGGCTTGGAGCAGCCTGGAATGGTGGGAGGTGTCCCTGCCCATGCAGGGGGGTTGGATCTAGATGATCTTTTGGTCCCTTCCAACCCAAACCAGCCAGTGATTCTATGACTGAATCCATGAATCTCCAAAAATCCAGGCACTGCCCAAAGACCTCAAGAGCTCCACCTCCCCACTCTTTCACTGTCACTGAAGATCTTTAAAGCCCTGGCAAAGCTGATTAACCCCACTGCAGTCTGAGCAACCATTTCTGTGACTAGACACATTTTATACTCTCCAACATCCCCCCCTCTACACTGCATCACCTTCCTGTTCCTGTGCTTGCACTCAGGGAATAAGTAAAATGACAATCTGGCCAAATTTGACTTGCAATTTTCAACAGCTTCACTCACTCCTACAGTTCTAGAGCCAAATGCCAATCAGGGAAGTGATGAATAGTGATGGGAATGTGCAGATAAGTTTTTGACTCGATGGGATGACAAGGAGGATCTGTTTTCTTCAGGCTGCATCCATGATTCAGAGACTAAGCCACTTCCAGTGCCCAGGGAGGGGCAATCTGCCTTCTAACAGGCTTTCACTTGCCTGGAAATGGTAGAAACAATCTGGTTTGGACACAGAAAGTTGCCTCTGAAAGAATCCTCTTTGGAAACACCAGTATTTTTTCATCTGACTCTCCTTACATAGCTCCTGGGGTGGGATGGAGGAGAAACACCACAAGGTCACAGCACACATGGAGGGCAGCTTTGGTGACCAGGCCAGGTTTGGCCATTCCTGCCCCACACAACCAGCTGGCCCCTCCATGAGGTCACCAACTGCTTCTGTCTTCACCCCAGGGGTGATCAGAGCAGCACCATCCAGCAGGACAAGGATCTGCCTGAATTACAAAGAACACTTTCTCTCTATCCTCAGTCCCAGCTACTTCCCTGACTTGGTTCACAAGCATGAGACTTTGAGTCTTGCAGCTGGGGAAGAACAACCCCATGGACCCCCCAGGTTGGGGGCTGTGCTGCTGGAGAGCAGGGCAGGAGAAAGTGCCCTGGGGGTCCTGGTGGGCAGGAGGATGAGCATGAGCAGCAATGTGCCCTTGTGGCCAAGAAGGCCAAGGGCATCTGGGGTGGGTTAGAAAGGGGGTGGTTGGTAGGTCAAGGGAGGTTCTCCTCCCCCTCTGTTCTGCATTGGTGAGGCCACATCTGGAGTGTTGTGTCCAGTTCTGGGCCCCTCAGTTCCAGAAGGGCAGGGAACTGCTGGGAAGAGTCCAGGGCAGAGCCACAGAGATG